CCAAAACTTATTGCAGTGGCATGACAATTCTTCAAAATGTTGTGGTGAAGGAACTGCACATCTCCATTGCTGATGGTTTTTTCTTTTTTTAAAAATGTGTTTTTTGGACATTCCTTAACTTTTATGTTCAGATAGTGGCCTGTAGTCTCAGCAGTCCCCCACGCCCTCTATGGTAATGACAAAATTCTCCTGGATAGGAGTGGAGTTGTGGTGCATGCCTGAGGCCCGGGATCTCAGAGTTGGAGGCCAGCTGGGGCTACAATAGTGAGTTCAAGGCCGCCCTGAACTGCGTAGCAACACTGGCACAATAAATAATTATTCTGGATTTAGTGCATGAAATATGCCAATATTATGCAAAACTAGGCTCACTCCAGCTTCCATGGGCAATGTGGTGAGTTGGCACATTGTAGCTGCTAGCAGAGAGGGCGAGCCTTGGAGATGGGCCCTGGAGGTGGCAGGCCTCGGCCTGTGAAGGCTGAAGTTCTGGCTTCATGCAGTGTACCTCATGCAGGTCACGCAACCTCTTGCCCAGGGCTCACCATTGGCAGAATTGGTACACTACTAATTCCATCATATAAATTTGTAATAACTCAGCTGCTTCAAAAGTGCTGAGCTCAGTGTCTAGTATACTTTTAATGTAAGATTTTTTTTTGTGTGTGTGTTAACATACATGTAACAGAATTTATCATCTTAATCGTTTTTCAGAATTTGTTGGTGTTAAGCAAGTTTGCATTGTTGGATAACCAGTGTCCCACCCCACCCCTGGAGGAGCCATCTGGCTCTGTCCCTAGGTACTTCTATCCTCTTGGTACCTGCTGAACTGGACTTTCAGAGGATCTTTGACAGAGGATTTTTTTTTTTTTTTTTTTTTGGCTCGCTCAGAATGCCTTCATGGCAGGTTGGGCTGGCTTGAGTTCTGGGGATCGAACCACAGCACCCTGAGCTGTCTGATTGTTTAGGCAGGCTCTTAAAAGAACTGAGCTAAGGGGCAGGCCCCCTGGAGGATCTTTTTGCTTGTCTTAAGTTTAGTCCCGCAAAACAGTTGCACTCACACTCTTGGGTTTTTTTTTTTTGTTTTATTTTTTTGAGTCAGGTCTCACTGTGTAGCCCAGGCTGGCCTAAAACTCACAGAGTCCTCCTGCCCTAGCCTACTGCCTGCTGGGATATGCCCCTGCGCCCACCTCTCTCATTTTTTCAGCTGTTAGCTCCTGTTTGTTTGCCTGCTTTCTCGGACCCTAGCCCTTAGCGACTCGCTTTCTTGCGGGACCAAGATGATATCTCCAAGATGATATCTCGGAGCTCTATTGACTGTTTGAAGGGGAGGGGGGGGGTGCAGGATTAGGACAAAGGAGAAGGGCACACACAGAGGCGAGCGTTAAGTAAGGCAGAGAGTATCAGCTCATGGCAGGGCAGGTGTCTGCAGATTCTCCTTCCTCTCTAGTGTGCAAAACCTTCAAGCCCGCGCACAAATGTGAGAGTATAACTAAACCTGGTGTACCTGAACAGTGGTACAGGTTTGTAAGGGCTTATTTTTCTCATGTGACCCAAAAAGGGAAAGGAATGACTTTGAAGATGTAGATTGCCTTAAAGGCAGGTTTAGTTTCCCTTGTTTTTATGCACTGGTGTTTGTTCATCTCTTGTCTTTGGACCTCTTGCTGCATTTAGGTTGAAGTCAAGAGAAGCTGAAGCTGCAGAACTGCAGGCAGGGCAAGTCACTTACTGGCTTCGTCACTTTCAGAGGAGAGCATGTGTGAGCTCTTAAGAGTGGCTGCAAAGGGGTCTGGGCATGGGCCTGCAAGCCACCACAGTTGGTCGCTGTGCTGGCCATTGGTCATCGGTGGTATGTCTGGAGGGAAGAGGCACCTGCCAGGTCTTTGCATGGGCACCGCAGCGCAGACTCCTTGAGCAGGTGTCATTGTAGGGGCAGATGAAAGCAAGCACAGAGAAGCCCCCACAAAAGAGGCCAAGTGCGAAGGAACGAGGAAGCTTTTGTTGCAAGCTTGTGACCTACCAATCCCCTGACTTCGGGTCAGGACTCCCAAAGTTGTCGGCACCAGCCTGAACTTTTCTTTCAGGTTATATACTTTTTAGGTTTCCATAGTAACCACATTAACTTATTACCTCATTTTCAGGAATGTTTCAGGAACGTCATGGAATTGCTACAGGGTTTACATTTCCCAGACACTGTTGACCATCTACCTGTCATCGGGCAGTGTGGTTTAAAGTTTGCTCTATTCCCTAAGTTGCCGTATTTATTCCTATTTTATGACCCTGGTTTATTCTGAGTGAGTTTATGGTTAGCTACAGGGAAGGGAGGGAGGGAGTTTAACTTACGTGGCCCTCCCTGAAAATGGAGCCTTGTTTGTTCCAACATTATGGCAAGTTAAGATGTAAAGTGCATTCTGGGAAGCTGAAGCAGCAAGAGGATCATAAGTTCAGCTCATTCGGAGTAATTTAGTGAGATCCTGTGTCAAAATGAAGAATAAGGGGTTGGAGATGTAAAAGTAAAGGGCTGGGGATGTACTCAGTGGAGACCCTGGGTTAATCCCTAGTACTGGGCGTGTGTGTGTGTGT